CTCACCAGGCCCGTGTAGACAGATAGGAAAGTACCTCAAACCGCAAATTACGAGGCCGCGCCGTGTGGGTAGAAGCGGCAGTGATGGCCCCAGCCCGGGCGCGCGACGTGAGAAATGAGCAAAATCCCACAGACGCGACGCCCGGGCCGCTAGCCGGCCCTCTCTGGGGACGGGACGCACCCTGTGGAAGCAGAGGTGCCAGACGGAGTGGCAGGGCGGGGGGCGGGGGGGCGCGCACCCTCGAACCGTGTGTGGGGGCGCCTGGAACCGCAGAAAGGCCCGGTTCCTCGAGGCCTGATTCTGACCCAGCGCCGTGCCCCCCGGCACCTGCAGGAGGTGATCTCCCACTGCAAGAAGCTGACCAATAAGAACAAAGAGCAGCTGTCGGGTATGATGGTTCTGGACAAGCAGAAGGGCCTGAAGTCGCTGAGCAGAGAGAAAAGGCAGAAACTAGAAGCTTACCAGCACCTTTTCTACCTGCTGCAGGTGAGCAGGAGCCTTTGGAACGAGAGGACCCCACCGTCCCCGAAGGGTCTGGGGCCCGGAGGCCTCTCTGTGCCCGTAACCCTCATGCCTCGACCCCGGAGACTGCCCCCCACTGCTGCTTGTCTGAAGGTTCCTCGCACCTCCCAGGAAGCGGGCCGGTGCCTTCTCCTCTCCGGTCCCCATCGGGAGAGCCTCTAATGCATCACCGGCCCTCGAGGCCCATCACACGCCTCCTGTTTCCCCCGTTGCTTGCAGACTCAGCCTCTCTACCTGGCCAAGCTGATCTTTCACATGCCACAGAACAGAACCACCAAGTTCATGGAGTCCGTGATTTTCAGCCTGTACAACTATGCCTCCAACCGCCGCGAGGCCTACCTCCTGCTCCAGCTCTTCAAGACAGCGCTCCAGGAGGAGATCAGGTAGGCTTTCCGCGCCCAGACGAGTGGGAAGGGAACGGGTTGAGAGACACCACCGTCGGCCCCTTCACAAGGGGGCGGTTTGTTGAGGTTTGAGGGCAGAAATGGAATCACGAGACCTCTTCTCAGCCTCACGTGGAGCGTCTGTAAGAGCCTCCGGGGACAGTACGGAGGGAGGATGCGGGCGGGCAAGTCAGCGCACAGGCTGTCAGGACAGGCCTTGAGAGGGGCCATAGCAGAGCAGGCTTTGAAGGGCCACAGTCTCGGAGAGGAGCAGCTGTTTGTCCTACACAGAGACAGGAGACCAGCTCCGGTGACCTCTCGAACCACAGGTCAAAGGTGGAGCAGCCCCAGGACATGGTGACAGGCAACCCCGCGGTAGTGGGGCTCGTGGTGAGGTTCTACCGTAATGGGCGGGGCCAGAGCGCCCTGCGCGAGATCCTGGGCAGAGTCGTCCAGGACGTGCTGGAGGACAAGACGCTGAGTGTCCACATCGACCCCATTCACCTCTACAAGAGCTGGGTCAACCAGAGCGAGGCCCAGACCGGCCAGCGCAGGTGAGGGGCGGTGCAGGTGAGCAGCAGCAGAGGGAGAGCTCCTTTGACCAGCTCCGAAGGTGGCATAGAAACGAGCTGCTGATTTATGCAGCTACGACGCCGGCCCTGCGGGATGAAATAAAGTAGCTTTTAGCGCCCCCTCTGGTGGTTAACGTGGAACTGATGTAAATGACGCGGACCTGGGTATAGAATGAGCACAGGTGAACGCGCAAACGTGTGTAATTGGCGTGTCGGTGCTTGCTTGAGAGCGGCCGTCCGACCTGCCGGGAGTTGGGATACGGACGCCTCCTTGATGGGGGAGAGCTGAGCACCCAGATTTGCAGGCGGATAGACAAGTGAGGTGGCAGGAGAGCTGGTCGGCCTTGCAGACTGGGGGTGCTACTCGGGGGCACGGTCCTTGGGAAGGGGGCCGCCGAGGAGCCGCCCGCGCTGGCGGCCTCTCCAGTGGCACACGGGCCTGCGTGTCGGGCCTGCAAGGCCGAGGCCGTCTTCCCGATCGCCCCAACCGCCAAAGACTAGCTGAGGGATGGCCCTGCCTCCAGCCCCGCTGAGGAGTCCACGCAGACTGTGGTCGTCCGCTCGTCCCTCCTCGTCCACCCCGTGGGCCCTCAGCTTCTCCTCCTTCGCCTTCCACCCACCTCGCTCCATTCCCTCTGAGTCCTTTCTCTTATTCCGACCTGGTCCCCTCCAGCACGCGGGGCCGCCCTTAGCGCGAGTGTAGGTATACGCACGCGCAATCCTGTTAGATGGAGGGTTCAAAGGGTGGAACTCGGGAGGGGAGGCCGTGGGAGGGGCTCTGGCTGATACCTTGTCTCTCTCTGCCCACAGCCACCTCCCCTATGACGTCACTCCAGAGCAGGCCTTGAGCCACCCCGAGGTCCAGAGACGGCTGGACATCTCCCTCCGCAGCCTCCTCGCCGTGACGGACAAGTTCCTTGCAGCCATCATCTCCTCTGTGGACCAGATTCCGTAAGTGCATCAGCCGCGCCCCAGCCCGGGCACGGGACCTCAAGAGGGCCAGGCCAGGCGAGCTGTAAACCTCTGTGTCCAGCACTCTAGGAGGCGGGAATAGGTTAAATTAGTAGGTGGCACATCTGTGGTAGGAACAGTGACGATAATAGAATCTAACACATTTGAACACTGTTCTGTCATTGTACGTTACTTCCACGACCTAGTTTCACTTGATCCTCACAAAATCCCTGAGCTAGAGGGAGGGCAAGAATGGCCATCTCCATCTTCCAGACCAGGGAAGGAGTCGGCGAGGGGGAGG